TTGAAAATATTTTAGATGGATGAATTTTCTGCTGAACTGAAGTTCATTTCACACTGATTATGTTTGAATGTTCGAAGCCCTAGGTGCCCATTTACTCTACAACACAGAGACAGGCATATTGCTATTGTCACTGGATACCATTTTCAGTAGTTTCCAACCCACAGCAACTCCATGTACAAGAGAATGAAATACTTGCCAATCCTCATAATTTCTCTGTAGCCTACTGTTGCACTCTTTGCACCAATTCCGTTTGTTGCTGGTCTCCCTCTTTTTTATTAGTTTTCTCCTTCACTAAAGTGTGAAGTCCTTTTCCAACAACTGGTCTTCCTGACTGTGGTACAATTGGTTGATTGTGTAAAATGACTTTCGTAGGCCATTGCTTTTGATTCTTGACCCTCAGCTGGGCAGGAACATGTAGAGTGTGGAAACTATCAATATCATGTTGGGACTGGCTAATTTTGACATCATGCCAGGTTTAAAATAAGCAGGATTAGCATCAGAAGATGGGAAATTCATTATCAATAAGGAAGAAGCAGCAGAGAACACAGTATGCATCCCTTGGGGTGAGATATTCTTTCACATCTCGGACTGACATCTAGATGAAGGCAGCAGCCGCAGGAGCAGTAGAGAATTTGCAGTCGAGGTGAGACAGAGTTGACTTGAGACTGTGACCCCATAGAACCAGGGCCAGGAGCCTTCAGCCAACCTTGCCAAAGGACTTGGAGTGGGGGGTAGACATAATTAGCAGGACTAATGTGACACTAACCTACAATGTGAGGCCAAAGGTCAATGGGCTTGGAGAAGCTTGAGAAGCTGTCCTGACTGAAGAATTGCATTCTGTTTCCAATCTGAATTGTAGTCTCTTAACTTTGCTAATAAGTCCCATGCCTGTGAGCGTGGTTCTGTGAGTTCTGTGTGGCCACTGCAGTAGATTAGCAGACCCAGTTGCAAAACACTGAGAGCCCTGGGCAGGATGACTGGGTTTGACAGGAGAGTGGGGAACACGTCTGACCTCCTAGGATTGATTTTATGCTGTGGGTGTTGTTTATGGGGCTGCTTTCCACTATGGAACTTTTGCTGTTAGGTGTTGTTGGGTTAAACATGACTCATAGTGAACCTGTGGACAACAGGTCTGAATCCTGTCCTATCTTGTGCCCACTTCACAGTCTCGGATATCCTTGAGACCATTGCTGTAATCACTGTATCAATCCACCTCGTTTAGGGTCTTCCACTCTTTTGCCCTCCCTCCACCGTTCTAAGCATGATGTCCCTCTCCAAGGAGTAACATTTCCTAGAAACATGCCCAGAGTATGCAAGTTGAAGCTGTGCCATACTTGCCTCTAGGGAACACTACGGCTTCACTTTCTCCAAGACCTATCTGTTCTTTTTGCAATTCATGAAATATCAGTACTCTCTGCCAACACCACAGTTCAAAGGCCCTCATGCAGGTTGTATTCTTTTCACACATGTTCAAAGCATGTGAGATAAAGTCTTGTCATTTCTACCTTTAAAGAAACATTCTCAAAATCTCAAAAGAGATTTGTTCTCTTATTCTAAAAATCCACAGGATATTATTCTTTGCTAACATCATGATTTGAAGGAATCCATTTTTTGGTCTTCCTTTTCCATTTTCTAGCTTTCAAATGCCTATAAGTCAGGCTCACATTGGTCCTTAAAGTGACCTATTTGCTTTTGAACAAGTTAAAGGAGTCATTTCTATATTTACCCTATGCAATAGGTCATTTCTTATTTCTTGACTGTGGCTTCCATGAGCATTGAGTGTGAATTCAAGTACAATGGAATCTTTGACAACTCAAATATTTTCTTTCTCATGATACTGCTTTTGGTCCAATTGTGAATATTGTATTTCATTGTGTTGATGTGTAATCCACACTGAAGGCTACAGTCTTTGGTCTTCATCAGTAAGGGCCTCAAGTCTACTTAGGGTATAGTAAGAAAGGTTGTATTATTTGTATATTATAGGTTATCAATAAGTCCTTTTTTCAACCCTGACACCACATCCTTCTTCAGAGTCTAGCTTTTTCCTGCCTTCTGAGATTTGCTTTTAGGGAAGTTCTGCCCTTTTGGTCTTTCATGATTCATTGTTTTGAGGAGTGCTTTTGTTGTTGTTGTTGTTGGGTGTTATTGTTTAGTACTCTTAATACCAGCAGTCAGGAAATCAAAAGACAAATTTCACTGGAAAAATCT